AGATATCACCATTTCAAACACTGAAAATACTAATAAGCACGCGTACGTCGCTTATATACATCATCGGACGTTTAATATAAGAAACAATATTGGTCTGTTTAAGTAATACATACAAACTATACGATTCTGAATGAATATAAATTCAAAACAAAAATGCTACTTACATCATCGGTGGAGGATATCTATTACACCGCGTTGTATGGGATCGAGAAAACACATTTAACGTTATTTTTGATAAATACATTCAGTATGTACATAGAAATTTTAGTCATAGAGTAACTAGAGTGATTGATACTGATTATAAGAAAACCATTAAAGCTACAGAACAACGTCGTCGAACTACAAAAACATCTTTATCTTCTAATGTCATTTCTGTTAAATTTATGATAGTTCCAACAAACCAACAACAATTTCTTGCAAATACTCACAAGTATCGCTTCATTTCAATGTTATGTGAAACATTTACAACTGCGAACATTGTAGTTAAAAAAGCTGATAATGACGCTGATCCTTATAATTGAAACAGCAATAGAACGATTCAATGAAACAAATACAACTACTGTTGTTGGTGAAGATGTTGATTTATTAATACTACTGACTGCACGAACTTCATCTGATAAGATTGTTTATTTTTTCAAACCTAGGAAGGCTCATGAACAATCAAAAATATATTCATCGAAGAGTTTATCTTCTTATCCAAAATGTCAAAATAATATCTTATTTTTACATGCAATGACTGGCTGCGATACTGTATCAGCAATGTTCAGTATTTAAATTGGTTGAAAAACGTAATGATTTAACTGATTGCGCATAAGTATTTAAAATGATTGACTCTTCTCCAGACGTCATCATCACAAACGGGATTCGCTTTCTACTTGCTATATATGGAGCTCCAAAAAAATTGATTGTATAGACAAGTATAGATATTTGAGTTCTGTAAAAAATACACGGAGCAATAAAAGAGTACAACTATCTTGTCTTCCTCCAACATGTGCTTCTGTTTATCAACACTTATATCGAGTATACTATCAAGTTCAAGTGTGGCTATGCAGTCAACTGAACCCAGAAGACTGGGGTTGGAAATTAATAGATAACATTTTGAAGCCAACAATTGATACATATTCAGCAAGTGGAAAAAGATGAGGAAAAAAGCGAAGAAGACATTATTGTTGAAGTTGAATTTGAAGATTATCAGTCAGATTAATTTTTCTCGAAATCATAAACCAATAGAACCATTTCTTATTGAATAGAATATTATCTTATAAAACTGAATCGCAATAGATCGTGGGGTATGCCTAACCACGTTAAAAAAAACGCGTCGAATACATTACTTCATAAGTGGTGCGGAAATGTGTGCATATCATGTATAATGCAACTTCAACTTTTGAAATGGTGATATCTCGGGAATGGTGATTTGTAGGAAAAAAAGTATTGGGACACTTTTGTAGATAATTGCATGATCTACAACTTTTGTCTGATCTATTTTTATGATAACACTTACCGTTTTGAATAAAAATGTAACAAAGCGATATTTGCGATCTTTGACTTTCAATACATTTTTTAGAACGCATGGGATCGGTGGGGACTTTTCACATTTTACTTATAGTAGTGTACCAAAGACCCGTACCAATATTTAGCTCTATGCGAATTATTGTAAATTTAAATGTCTATTTGACTGGATTAATAAATTATTGCACTACTTAATAACTATTTCTAAGTTGAAGTGACTTTAAAGGCAATTTTCAGCTTAAGTAGAAGTTTGTATGATTTTGAGTGAGTCTATATTAATATTGATGTTTTTGACAAAAGTAATTTTACAATTTTATTGTATTTTTTTTCCTTATACCTAGTTACAAGAGCTTTGATATTAGTATTTGTCTGCGGTATTCCTAACAACCTTTTACTTAGATACATTTTTAGCAATCAGCTTCTTATTTTTTCAAATCTTAAAAAAAATTACTGACAAGATATTTTTATAAAAAAATTCATATAGTTATTTGTAAAAGTAATATTTTGCGATTTATGTTGCTGGTGCTGTTTTTTACTGTAAGATTCTTTTTAAACTGAAACAAATTTAACAAATACTTTTTGGCAGCACACTATAATATTATGTTTCAAGTGATAATACTAATATAACCACCCACAAAGCCTAGGAACACCACATAAAGCTTTTATCGAAACTTTGTTAAGTAAGGAGTGAGTCAGAAAATAGCTTGTTACAAATTTGAGGCTTAGACTTAAAACTTTCGACTGTAAAGCTTAATAGTACACTGCTCGAAGCCGATTAAGACAGTAAGACACTGGTGATGAACACATACAATATTTAATTTTGGCGTAAGCTGTTGCATGTAATTTTCACACTGAAGAATAAATTGTGCCATATTGTCAAAGTATCAGAAATTGTCGCGATCTTTATTGTTAAATTTCAATTGTTCCCAGTTTTTATAAAGAATGGATGAATAAAACTAAAAACAACGTGTCTAAATTAATATCATTGCGATTTGAAGTCAATGTGCAAATATTAAATGTTAAAATTGTTCTTGAACCATTTACCATTTATTTTTTAGAAAAATTGGATCTGTCATTGGAAACGTGGTTCTTTTTAAATAAAACCAGCAACTTTTGTTACACAATAGTCGTGAAGTTTCGTTCCTCATAGAAACTCTAAAAGAAAATATAAAAACAACTGTTAATTTCTATTTATAGTCGTCATGATTTAAGAACAAATTTTAATAAAAATCTGTTATTGAACATATTCAATAAACTATAAATTTAAACATTTGGTGCAAATGTAATATATTTACTTTTTATTAAAAAGGAATATAATGGAAAGGACGTATCTAAATTTACACTATTACAGAATTCTGCAGAATCTTAATACAAGTTAATTGTTTCCATAAACATTCTTAAAATAGGCCTGTATTGTATTTGTAATAGAAAACTCTTATACGAAAAAGTTCTAAGTAAGAACCTCATCTCGTACCGTACATCGCATCTTAAGGCGCCAGCTGTTACATCCCTATCATCTGCAACCAGTTCAACAGATTTTACCCCGGATTGTGACCAACGAATGCGTTTTTGTAGATGGTTTTCACGGCAATGTGCCAATCAAGTAGACTTTCCTGCTTATGTTTGTGTAACAGATGAGGCGGCATTTACCCGTGATGAAGTGAATTTCCATAATATGCATATATGAGCCGATTAAAATCCTTACGCGATTAGGGAAACTCGTTTTCAATACCGGTTCTCAGTAAATGTTTGGGTTGGCATAATAGGCCAACTTGTGGGTCCCTATTTCTATGAAAGACGACTAAATGCACCAACATATGCTGACTTTCTGAAGAACCGGTTACCTGAATTATTGGACGATGTGGCATTACAAGTTCGGGCACGCATGTTTTGTATTCAAGATGGGGCTCCTCCACACAGTACTCGAGAAATAACGACACTTGAATGAAATGTTTCCTCAGCGATGGATTGGACGCTTTGGTCCTGTGCCGTAGCCACCTCGGTCACTCGATCTAACTCCAATAGACTTTTATCTTTGGAGTCACTTGAAGTCATTGGTTTACAATACTCCAATTGCTACGGTGGAAGAATTACGAAACCGTATACTTCAAGCTGCCGACACAATTAGGGGAATACCTGGAATTTGGGAAAATATTCGCCAAAATTGGGTGCGTCGGTGCCATGCTTGTATCCGCGCTAATGGAGATCAATTTCAACATTCAATGGTAAGTTTATTTCATTTTGTTACATATTTTAATGGAGTTTGTTTAGGGCACACAGTTGGCAACTACAGATGCTTACGGATGTGGTTTTGTTTGCGAACTCTTGCAGTAACAACAATGCATTTAAGGTAGTAATTACTATTAATTATTATAATAAGAAAATATCAGTATTTTAAATATCTATTTTTCTTAGTTTGTCCTTTCGAATTGAAAAATTCCCCAAAAAATCTTCTATCTTTCAACGACGATTTGTTTACGCGGCTGGTCTACAGCACGTAATTCATCGTACAGGACCTTTCCAGAGAAAAAATTTTGATCCATAATTGAACTTTATTTAAGAAAGAAAACGCAGAAATAGAAGTTTTTCGTATAAGACTTTTCTATTACAAATATCGTTAGGAAGCTGTATTTTAATTTTTATAGATTATACACGCCACACCCTGTATATAGAAACCGATTTTTCTGAAGAAAAAAAAACTTTAGCATTTAAATGGTCCAAAAAAGGATTTAAAATGTTATTTTTAACTACACTATTGGAAAAAATTTAAGTAACAATATTCATGAATTTTTTAGTGATTTTCGAAAGGCGACTCGTGAAAAATGATCATATCCATATAAAGAAAAAAGCATTTTGAAGTTTCAAAATCTTTAGACAAAAAAATTTGATTTTGATCTACGGTTATCGAGCAATCAAAAGAAATACTTACACCGAGAAAAAAATAGTCCCAATAAATGTGCCAAATTTTGAAGCATTCGGTAAAGAGGTTATACCTACAGTTATTAATTAAATTAGTTCTATTTTTGACAACTTTGAAGGCCTGTAACTCAAAAACCAATAATATTTATTTAACTTTTTTTCGTAAATCGAATACATAATATATTTATCGTCGTGAATATGCAGTCAAACGTTGTCGGTGAAATTTGCGAACGACCTGTATATTTCCCTCGGTATAATGATGAGAACCAAAAGGTTTGAGACCAGTCTACAAAATAAAATTTCTATTGTAGAAGGTTTAGGAGTGCTTTAGACGTCTAATAAACGTGATTTAGTTTAATGTGACTTCCTTTGAAAGCTATGTCCCACCCGTACAACAGGGTGTTTAAACTGGGTGCGATAATATGGCTTTCTCTCGAACCATGAGGTACCTATACAGAGACAGATAAATTGGAGGCAGTACTGTTATCGCGTCCAAATTGAAACACGCACTGGAGACTTACAGCATTGTTATCATCATTGACTATTGTATAAATATAATAAACAACACCTACTCAAACTGCCGCAGATCGCAGCAGTAATCCTCAAAATTCAAATCTACATTATGCAAATGAAGAAGTCTGTCATCTTCCACGGAAACAGCCAGCAGAATATCCTGTTCAAGTGCCATGGGACACACCGAATACCCGCAGTAGTCGATATGTTCCCCGATTAGGTTTACCCTACAGAAAAAAAAATATATGTAAATATTCCAGTGTCGAAGCATTAATCGTATAATACCTTCCAGGTACGCGTATATAAAATTCTGCTTCCTTTTTGTGCAGAGCGGCAAAAGCATCACGAATTTCGCGCGTACGGTCGTTTTCCGGTAAAATACAGACAGAGACATGCTCACTCGATTCCGTGGCCATTGTAAACACAAACACACTTCTGTATCACAATAACTTTGTAGGTAAATTAATGATAGGTATGAAATCGCTGCCAATAATCACTGACACAGATAACCTGCAAATTTATTTGTTTTATACGTACGATTTTACACGTCCTCACACATAACTAGAGATATCTGAGCTGTTAGAATTGGATGTTTATAGCATTACAGCGCCATCTCTGCCGCGGTTGCCGAAGCAAGACAACGCCATTTACAGTTCTCTGTAGCGAAGAAATTATACTTGCAGAAAATTATATTTTACAAAAGGAAATTCTTTTACCACAATATATACAATTTAATCTGTATTGAATAGATGGGACCACTTATACCGATTTATAATTTATTTCCATCTCCATGGTGGTCTAGGAGAAGATTCCCTTTATTTAATTTATTACAGAAATTTCGAAACAATTCAGTTTTAATGGTTAGTGGGATACATGCTTCTTGCAAATTTATACCATTTACTTTATTTACTTAAAAAGCACAACGAAGGAAATTATTGTCATATCATTTACTTAATTGCCATATTACTGGTATAGTCTTTCCGATGTCAATTGAAGAACCAAGAGGATGACAGTATGTACCAGGTTCGGTCGCTGACGTAGCAACTCGGCATTGAAATATTTGAAAAACTTGTTCCCATATTTATTTAGCCATACCCATAGACAGGTCTGGCCGAACTTAACGCTGGAGGTGGCAAATGAAATACAAATACAGTTGCATTGGGCCACTGGGCAATAAATCTCAGCCGTTGACAAGTGGTCGACAAATTGCCCAGCAGTGCACTGCAGCAATGTGGAATTTGGTGTGATTCAGGTAATTTTAATTTATTATAGGCACCTTCTATTAATTATTGATATTACAATTGTGAAAGGGAGAAATATTATTACAACATGGCATTTTGGAGACATTTTGAAACGGAAGAAAATGAAATTTACCATCAATATAATAAAACTGTTTGAGGACATAAATAATTAAAATATGTTGTTGGAAAATGAACATATTATAATAGAAATTTTCTGAACATTATTTACAAATTATTATAGTTTTTACCTTTATCAGAAAACTGTTTTAAGGACGCCTATGAAATTCATTAAATTTTATTGCCAGTCGTTTTTTTACATGTTGAACTTGATGAACATATAATAGAAATTTTCTACACGTTATATACAAATTATTATTATTTTTTACCTTTAGCAGAAAACTTTTTTAGGGACGCCTATGATACGCATTAAATTTTATGGCTAGACGTTTTTATACATGTTGAACTGACTTCGGAAAGACTATAACATGTACTTGATTTTTTAAATCAGCTTTTTCAATAAAAGATCCCACTAGAATCTAGCAAAGTAATGGTATTCATATATGAACTTTGTATTCATGTATGGTTGGGCATCCATCTCATTTTTAGTTAGAAAGTGGTTACACCAATATTTTCTAGAAAAATGGATTGGCAGATGCACCTATTCATCGGTCCGCTTATTCGCCAGACTTAAATCCACTAAATTTTACCATCTTTCCGTCTTTAAGAGGAAGATTAGAAATGTGTATACAGGAAAACGGAATATGAACGCTAATTATGAATTTTATCATTTTTATTAAAATCTTACTTTCACTAAATTATTACTATCGAAAAACTTTTCACGGCTACCTCGACAATAGAATATTATTCTGCAGCTATGCAAGCGCAGTTTTAAACTCAATTACTTACTCGTAAACGGTTTGCTTTAGCAGTTGCAACTGCAAGTAAGAATACCTTTTCTTCGTAGAAAACTGTGTAAATTAATTTACGTAGATTAATCTTACAAAAATTATAAAATAAAAAAGTTTGGGGGTTAAAAGATGAAATCTACTACACCTAACTTTGAAGGATCAAATACCCTAATTTTCTAATTCTCTTAAACTATTTGTATTTCATTTTGAGTCTCTTGTATGTATGTATGTATGTTTTAACACAACATTGCATACGAATTCAAAAGAATTAATACGAACAAATTTTCATACAAATTCGTAGCCGATGTACCTACAATCCATACATATTTGTTGAGGTAGAATTCCAAGAAGACCACTGCGTCACTTTCTTGGAATTAACCGCATTCGACACCCGAGGTAGAAAGATATTGACAGCGTAGCGTTCACCCTTGCAGCTTGCAGTGCATATTGTGTATTGCAGTTACGAAGATGTATTTTTTCTAAGTGTATCGTCCTGTGCGATTTCAATGTAATTTCTTATTAAAATAAATCAAAGGAGGTGAAAAATAAAAGAAAGGAATATAATTCCCAGTTAGAGAGTATCGTGTTTAACGTGAATAATGCCCCTGCCGCTGTAACTTGTTACAGTAGTTTTGGTAACAGAACTTTATAGGCTTATTCTATCTCGACAAATATTGAGGGGACTGTAACCGATGTCCAACTAGCAGATATACAGGGTGTCCGCAAATTTCACCGACAACGTTTGACTGCATATTCACGACGATAAATAAATACGATCTACGAAAAAAATTAAAAAATTTTTTATTTTTGAGTTACAGGCCTTCAAAGTTGTCAAAAGTAAAACTAATTTAATTAATAACTTCATAATCCTTTTAACGATCTGCGTTAAAATTTGGTACATTTATTTGGACTATTATGGCGTACTAGTCCTTAAAGCTTTTGTCAAATCGATATACCGGGTGATAGTTTTCTCCAGTTACTTCTTCCCTTGGCGGTCAAAACTTTTACAGTGGTCGTATTTTTTTAAAACAGGCAGCGACATTGTAAAAGTGGTTTTTATTAAAAAAAAATATTGTCTCTTTAGAAAAACGCCTACAGAAAGCCATTCTTGATAAAAATTGCATTATTTGCAGGTGTGTATGTTTCGGCTTGCGCAGCAGTGTCACGGATTTAAAACTTTGAGTTCAGTATTTAAAAAATTAAGAGATTAAGAAATTAAAATTTTCAAGTTCTTAAGCAGGAATTAAATGAAATGGCCGAAGAAGTTGCATTTTTAAAGTTTTGCGAACATTAGTTTTACATACATTTAATTGTCTTGATACACTGCGGACACTTCATAATGTGCATGTGTGGAGTGATGAGAATCCTAAAGACACACGACCATGATGACATTACCTGATAACCACAGTAATCAACATCTTGTTTTCGTCGCCTACTGAACTCAAAATTTTAAATCCGTGACACGCCTACGCAAATCGAAACGTGCTGTAGGCGTTTTTCTCAAGAGACAAAAAAAATACGACCACTGTAAAAGTTTTGACCGCTAAAAGGGAGAGGTAACCGGAGAAAACTATCACCCAGCAAATCGATTTGACTAAAGCTTTAAGAAATAATATGTCAAATAGTCCAAATAAATGTGCCAAATGTTAAGGCGATTGGTAAAAAAGTTATGAAGATATTAATTAAATTAGTTTTATTTTTGACAACTTTGAAGGCCTGTAACTCAAAAACAAACAATTTTTTTTCGAAGATCGTATTTATTTATCATCGTAAATATGCAGTCAAACGTTGCCGGTGAAATTTGCGGAAACCCTGTATTAAAAGTTACATTTCTTTATACACCGTGTCCACGTAGTGCGCGTAAGTTCAATATCTAGGTTAATAAAACATATAACTTAATTTTTTTTTCTACAGAGTTGCCTACTTTGCCGAGCTGCACAAAATGAAAATATTTTTGCATATATAGGGTGTTCAGTTTTTCCTGGGCAGGTACCAACTTATTTTTTTTTAATGGAAACCTATATTTTTATGGCATTATCGAATTCTACGTGAAAAATTAACGCGACTTTGTGATCCCTATTAAAATATTGATAGTTTTCGAGATAATAGACTTTTCATTTTTTTTTCTTTTGTTTCGTCACTTCTAGTAGTTGACATAATTATGATTGTATGACAGCTAGAAATTAATTTTTTTTTCAGGAACTGTAGAGTGAAGATGAATCTTTCAAAAAACATATCAAAAGTTGTCCTGCGATATACAGGGGGCAAAAAAATCGAGCCAAACCTGATAGTTTAAAATTTGAAAAATCTCGACTGTTTCAAATAGATAACCCTGTGTTTTATGAATTCATTAGATGCCTTTCTGTAGACCCTACAATTTTTTAATAGCTTTCCCTATACCTGAGTTGAGTAGTTTTTTCAAAAAACCCATTTTTATGTAAAATACCGGATTTGCGCCCGTTCCTTTGTCGGGAAAAATATTTTAAGGGTATTTATTTTAAGTTAGCTTGCGACTATGAGTATTCCTTTTTCAACATTCTATTCATTCTAATTTTTTAATCTCCAATTTCACTAATACCTTTCCTAACTACGGTAACAGTGCTTGATTTTTAATACGATACGGTTGAAACTTCTTCAATATTTTATTTGTTAAACTTTTGAAAACTCCAGGATTAGGTACTACTAATTTCCTGGCATTAATATTTGGATTTTTAACAGCAGACGCCACAACTTTAAACTAAATATTATCGCTGTTACTTTCAGGTAGTCCTCTTCTGGTAGTTTTTTCATAATTCGCATTTGCTGTTCATTTTCTTGCGAATCTCTGTAAATTTGGATTATTTGCTTTGTAAATACGTGCTGCTAGCAAACATTTCCCATATTTTGCTAATTCTTAATAACTTGTAGCGATTTTATGGTTTTTTGATTTTATTTACAAATAAATGGTAACTTTCCATAAAGACTTTTATATTAAACTCAAATATCTAAATTTTTGAGTTATTACTTTTTAATTTAAATAGCGTAGCTAGACAACTAATAAATTTAATAAAAATAAATACCCTTACAATATTTTTCCCGACAAAGGAACGGGCGCAAATCCGGTATTTTACATAAAATTGTTTTTTTTTTGTAAAAACAACGCAACTTAGGTATAGGGAAAGCTATTAAAAATTGTAGGGTCTACAGAACGGCATCTAATGAAATCATAAAACACAGGGTCTTCTATTTGAAAAAGTCGAGATTTTTCAAATTTTAAATTATCAGGTTTGGCTCGATTTTTTCGCCCCCTATATATCGCAGGTCAACTTTTGATACGTTTTTTGAAAGAGCCATCTTCACTCTACAGTTCCTGAAAAAAAATAATTTCTAGCTGTCATACAATCATAATTAT